CTTTCTTGATCGCAGGAGTAGTAGTTTGAATTTGCTTTTTAGTTGGATCATCTATTAATAACTTGTTATTATTATTAATATTAGGAGAATTAAGCAGTGATGCCGATGTTTGTAACTTTTGTTGTTGTGGTAGAATTTGTTGCAAAGATTGTTTGTTATTTGATTGAGGGAGATGGATTTGTACTTGTGTGGCTTTTCCAGGTTGGGGTTGTGGTTGAGAGGCGGGAATAATAGAAGTAGAAGAAGGTAGCTGTGGCTGTGAGATTTGTTGTGGCGTAGCTTGTTGAAGTGGCTGTTGAACAGACAATTCTATCTTTGTCTTTGAGTCTTGGCCTTGAAAGATTTTTTTCTGCGGGCCACCACAAAAGGTTTCAGCACGTAAATGTCTGTTCAATGCATCCATTCTTGCAAATTTTCTTTTACAGTGTTGACATTGATGAGGTTTTTCACCGGTATGTAATTTTAAGTGTCTTTTCAAATCATGCTGTCTACGGAAAAAATGTTGACAAACATCACATCTGTATGGTTTTTCTTTAGAGTGTGTTAATGCATGTGATTTTAAATTGTGTTGGCGACTAAATGTTTGATTACACTCAAGACAAGTAAATGGTTTAGGTTTTGATTGAGATTGAGGAGAGTTATTTTGTGATGCGTTGTTTGATTTTTCTTGATTTATAGAAAATTGATTAAAACTTCCCGTGGTAGGTGGAGCTGATTCCAATGGCTCTGTTTGGTTCTCTGATGACGAAGATGCTTTAGATTGAGAAAGTACTGATACGTTAATAGTTTGATTATTATTATGTGGAGGTGACGATTTCAGATTGGCAGAAGCAGGTTTATTAGAATTAATAGTGGCAGAATTATTACTAGAGTCATTGTTGCCATTATTATAACTAATGTCGTTACCATTCTCATATTTAATACTTTTAATACCACCACCACCATTACTACTGGGGTTATTATTTGAATGTTGAGTAGTCGAATCCTTTTGAATAACGACGGCAGTGGTAGATATTGTTTGTTTACCTTCTAAAGACATATTATAACCTTCATTATCATTGTTATCATTGTTATTGCTACTATTTTTATCTGTTGCGTCATTTTTTACACTATTAATTGTAGAAACATTTTGATGTTCTTGGGTAGTTTTATCAATATGTGCGATTTCTGATAAAGGCATTTTTTAATTTTTTTGTGTGGCTTGATTATGTATGTGTACACTGTTAAGAAATTGAGAGAAATAAATTAAAAAAATTTTTTCCAAGGAAATTTGAATCTATTTAATTGTTAATGTAGAGTTACACGACAAGTAATTTGCGAAAATTAAATAATTTAAAGATGTTTAAATATGTTAATAAATATCAAGTGGCACTATTTATATTTATATGGGATTTAGTTCGGTATTTTTTCATTTTTATTCTCCAGTTTGTTTAACCCTTTTATAATAACGCCAAACACTATATATAATCTTCTTGTAATCTTGTAATCACTTAGCTGGGCCAATAATTGATCTGCAGCTCAGCCTCTAATGTTACATATTTACGTTGCACGAGCTAAAAATTTATATTTATAACTATTTTACCAAAAAATAAAATAGAAATGTCATTTAATAAAAAAAAATTTTCATTTATTCTATTATAGCAGAAATAATAACAATAAGATAGTTACCATAATTGTATTTAAATGGGAATTATTTATAATTTTAAGCCACAATCCTCAAATACGAAAGACTGTTGTACAAATATGTATAGTATTTTGGGTGTGATTTTTTACACAAAAAATACTACTGTCTCCTTATACAACTTATACAAGCAAGACAAGTCCCACTACAAGGAGAGATCCCCTGTGTATAAGCCACAACGTCGTAAATCTGTAGAGATACAAACGGAAGCCTGTAATATATTAATATTACTATTACGGAAGGAAACACATAAAGTCACAATCTGTACATGTATGTATGTAATGAATAGTAAAAAATCTTTGAGGGCTTCGGATTTTGTTTTATGGGACACACACATTTTACCGCTGTATTCCTCAGTGCGGATTACCGTCTTGCGTTGAGAATACTCGTACGCAAACGACTTTATGTGATCAGATCAAGCAACATTCATTCACCTTGCGGTTTTTTTTCTATTGAATTTTTCCAAAATCATTCATTATCATCATTTTTGACCATGTCCTGTGTTTCAAACTCGGAAAAGAAAGCCAAATAATGGTTTTCGCGTAACCATTTTGCGATCAAGAACGAGATGCAATACTATAGAACACAACCAGTGTTACATTCTGAACAATATCATCATTCATGGCCACAAAATACTAATAATCAATTGCAAACAATGTCAGGACCGCAACCACCTCCTCAATCATCTGGAAAACAACCTCTTATAATCCCAAATGCTATGCATCATCAAATGGTTTTTGAATCTACTAATGGTGGCGTGCCACCACCGCCACATTATCCTGTTCAATATGCACCACCGCCACCTCCATCTTCTCATACAGCACCTGATTTTAATTCCCAAATTCAAGATTCACAACGTAGAATTGTTCCTGAAGAAGCCATTACAAATGGTGACCACGATCACGCTAAAAATGTTTCCCAACGAGAAAATTCACTTATTGAAAGAAATAATTATTTGGAAGAGAGAGTAAGGGAATTGGAAAATGATATTATTAATGAACGTAAATTACGTGGTCGTAGAGAATTTTTGGAACAAAGAGTATCCGCACTTGAAATTGAGAAAAATCTTCTTAAACAATTATTGTTGGAACGTGCTTCTGCTCCAAATACTGATGTTTCACAATACGAGAAAAAACGCAAAATGTCTGCTACTATTGATGCTGATATTCAAATAAAAACTCAAAAAGATGCATAACGAGGTTTATAAGGACTTCAAAGTGGCTCTTTTGCTCTAGTATATACATATATTGCACATTTTATACGTTTTCTGTAAGGAATGAATTTTATTTTTTTATTTTTTTTTATCGTTAGAATTATTTTTTTGAGACTGTCGAACATTTGATGAAAATTAATAATTAATTAATCATTGCTGATCAACATTTATAATGGTTATATTTTGTTAATAGAAAAGTAGTATTAATAATAGTAGAAGGAGGAGGTGGTGATGGAGACGGGGTGGAAAATCGGACGATGGAAATAATTTTGTTTATTATTTTATTCAAAAGATTTAGTAATTAGAATTCTATATGATTTGAAATCATTTTTAAATGATTTATAAGCAATAATAACATAAATATTTGCAATTAAGAATTATATGAAATGAATATTATTATATTATATTATATAGATACTTTTAAAATCACATCTAATAATAATAATATTTGTATCAATAACAATCTTTTTTCACCATTTATATATATACAATATATAAGAGATATATATAATGGCATAAGAATATGAAAAGTTTGCAAATAATATCAATTAATTTTTTATTTTTATTTTTATTTTAGTTAATTTTTTTTTTTTTGATTTTTTTTTAAAAGTTGTAAATAATCAAATTTCTAATAAATTAAAAAAAAAATTTAATTTTCTCTAATTCTATATATAAACAAATTATTATATTTTTTATATTTTCAAAAAAAAAAGATCATTAAATTATTATTAAAAATGATGGTACATCAATATTATAAATAAATAAAAGGATTAATTAATTAATTAAAAATAAGTAGTAAATTAGTAAATTAGTAAATTAGTAAATTTTTAACCATTTTTAAAACCCTTTTTCACATATGATTGTTATCATCATCGTCGTTTGGTATTAATACGAAATTATTATTATTTGATTTTAAACTTGATCCTCCTACAGCTCCTAATCGGCCACCACTGTCATCACTACTACTTTGATTATTACTATTATGATAAGAATCTTGCCAAGGTAATTCAATTGTATCGTATCTTTTACCACCAAAATATGTTATGTCTATATTAAATCTATTTTCACCCACTATGTAGACAAATAAACTTATACAACTTATAATTACCACCACCTCAAACATCAATTTTGCTCCACCATTACTATCATATAATAAACCCCCAAATAAACTACCAAATCCTGTACCAATACCTGCATAAAATGCAGTCATGAGACCTTGAGAAAATGATACAAGATTTGGCGGAGCATTGTTAGCCATGTGAGTTACTGCAGATACCCATAGAGCAGAAAATCCGATACCATTCAAAAGTTGTACTAACAGTGCTAACATATGTGAAATTAAATTTGGTTGTAATAACGTATATGTTAAACATCTTAATATTGTAACTATATGAGCTAGTATTACTAATGAGTAAATTCCAAATTGAGAAATTAACTAGAAGATTTTTTTTTAAAATAATTAATTATATAATAAATAAATGAATCTTTTTAATATATACATATATCTATTTATATACTACTTACTTCTTTTGAGTAAAAGAAAAAGATAAGTTCTGTTACTGAGCTTAAAGGTCCTGTTAAACCAAGAATAGTAGAAGTTGCTTGTAAATCTTGGCTCAAGAATAACAACAAAAATGAATTACTCATAGCAAGTGCTATACCCATCAGTAACATTACTGCTAATAATGTGACCACGCTTGGATTTGTTAATAGTACTTTGATTGATGAAGAAGAATGATCTGAAAGCGATGCGGTGGGTAAATTTGGTGTAGTAGGTGGAAATGCTAAAATATCTAAATCTGGAACCGGTATACCATCATCGTCGTCATCATCAATGTCAGAGTCATCTCCATCTGATTCATCAATATGTGTAGAATCATCTATCATTACTTTAACATTTCTTGAACTTGATCCGTAATCATCAATAACAACATCTGCATCATCATGATCGCCCAGATCTATTAAAGGCTTAAATGTATAATCTTTATAATGTGTTGTTGGGATTATTTCAATTTCATTAAATGTAGGATTAAAATCAGTAAACATTGTACACAGTACAAGCAATGCTGCAGTTGTAAAAAAGTAAAAGAATACGACATTAATATTGTTAAATGCACCCCACAAAAGTCCCACTATAAGAGTGCTTGAGCCATATGCTATTGATCCCCAAAGTCGTTGTTGACCTTTAAAATTATTTAAAAAAATACATTTTAATTAATAGTGATAACAATAATAACAATGATGAAGAATATTATTGTTATTGTTATTATTATCATTATTATTACTGGTAATGATAATTTACCATAAAGTTCCCTTTTATCTCCTAATATTTTTAATACGCCACTATCAATCAATGCATTGACTGGTATACCAAAAAAGGCAAACCAAACAGCTGCAATTAAGACAAATCCCAAAACAAATCCATGATAAGCTTGATCTTTTGTATCGACTATCGTTGGTAAAATCATTTGAGAGACAACGCCTAATGTAGCCAGTGAGTATATTACAACAATTATAAATCTATGCGCCTGAAATTTATCAGCCAAGCCAGTCCAAAGTGGACAACTTAAAGCAGCAATAAATGGTGCAAGTGAGAAAACAGCGCCAATTTCTGTTGAACTCAATTCTAATATAACTTTATAGAAAATTGGTAAAAAAGGAATTGAGGCCCCAGTTCCAGCACATAACATGATGAATAATAGTTTAGGTGCAAGGAAAGGTGTCGAAGAAATTCTTGAAAAGATTTTTCCTGGAAAACGAGACCTTTCAGGGTAATAATTTTGTGAGTAACTTGATTCTTGTTGAAAAACTTTTGATAACCATGTTGGGGGTGCAAATTGTAAAGTAGTAGAAGATTGAGCACGTCTTAAACGAGCTCTTTTTGAACTTGATTTAGTATTATTATTCTTTTTGTTATCATTACTGTTATTCTCTCTACTGTGAACAATCATCATGTAAAACTTTTTTTTTTTTTTAAAGGAGTAATTGATAAATTTTATATTTAATTTTGATGGCCAATCAAAATTTCAATACTTTAATAATTAACAAATATGGCAAGATTTTATCGCAAATCACAAAAAATTTTATAATAATTATTAATAGCTGATAAGTTAATACAAATAGTGATCTAATATTAATATTAATATTAATAATCATGATCTTGTGTTTCCTATTCTTCCTGGTGGTCTTGGTCTTGAGAATGTCGTTGTTACAGTTTCCTCAGTTTGTGGATGTAATTCTTCCAAAACATAAGTTTTTGTGAGTTCAGTTGGATCACTTGTTTCCAGCTAATTTATTGACCCGTTCGTATTAATATTAATATTAGTATGAAATGAAAATGAAAATATTATTTTAATTTTTTACTGGTTTACCTTTTTATCAATATTAAGTTTAATCTCAACTTCTCCATATGAAATTACAAATGTTCGACACGCTGCATATAACATTCGTTCACGAATCTTGGAACTCGAGGGACAAGTATAAAGAAAAACTAATCAAATCAGTCAATCAGTTTAATTATATTCCAGAGAAAATTATGAATAACCATTACCAGTCAATCAGTCAATCAATCAATTAAATTAATTGATTGATTGATTGATTGATTAAATGGATATTAAAACTTACTGGTGGAATTGATTTCTTGTCCATTATGATGATGATCATATATAAAAAATGCATATCTTGGCATATCTATAGGAAAAGAATTTGCAAGATTTTCAATATCAATTTTTTTCATTACATCAAGTTCGACCTTTTCTTTCTCTGTATCAATTGACTAGACACACATAAATTGATGTTAAATACATTAGGTGCTAAAGGAATAAGACTAATAAATAATATATAACAAATAACATACTAGCAAAACAAAATTATTCTTATTGCTGTCACTTTTTAAAGATTTAATTGCTTCTATTGCTTCATCAGTTAAAGGGAACGCAACTCCGGATGCATGAGATTTACGTGTCGATGTGCTATAATTATTAACGCCAGCCTAAATAAATAAATATTAAAGTGAAATTACAGTTAATAATTTAATAATTAATACATAATACAATATAATATATAATATATATTATTATTAAATAATAATTGCCTCAATACTTTTAATCTCTGCTAATTCTTTTTCACGTTGTGTCAATGGTGCATCAGCATTTTGATGTTTTTTGTGTTGTTCATAGCCCTCCAATGTAAATTCAGACTTTTTAACAATAATTATATATGTATTGGATGTAAGTTTTTTTTTTACAAATTAATTGCTATATGAAAATATAAAACTATGAAAAATATCTCACCATTGAAGTTCCATACATTGAATCAACAAAGCGATTGTTACCCAATTCTTTTGTCAGTGTAGCACGTGTAGCTGCATACAACATTTTATTTCTTACCTATGAACATTAATTAATGAATCAATTCAATTCAATTCAATCCAATCCAATCCAATCCAATCCAATCCAATCCAATCCAATCCAATCCAATCAATGAATAAATTCTAGAAGATAATTAAACAACAAACCTTGGAATGATCAGGGACATAAGCAGCAAATAACCATTCATAATCTCCAGATGAAGATTTACTGTCAAGACGATCTTTAAATTTTTTTTTATAAAGGTCAAAATATATCAAAATTTAGAAATAAATTATTGTTATCATCAATTGTTATCATCATCATGGTTTATTAACTAACATAGTATAAAACATGGAACCTCTTCTTCTAAAAATTCAGCAATCTCAGAAAAATCTATTATTATTTGCAAGCCATTTTTAAATTTTCTATTATGTTAATTAAAATGAAGGAGAATCGGATAAATCTCGAAATGATTTATTGACACACATATATATCACTATACCCGATTTCCAATCACTTTTAATTTCTCTTGTACCATTGGGAACGAGCGACTCTTGTATAAATTAAAGCAAGGTAAAAAAATTCATTATTTTATTATTTTATATGTAATATTCACTTTGTCGTATAAATAATGAACTAAATACCATTAATTATTGATACACGTATTATTCTTAAATCTCCTTTAGCAACTGCATTTGCAAACAATTCTCCAAGTTCTTCAGAAACTATTTAAATAGTTATCACAAAATGCTAAAATTAAAAAAAGATCATAAATATTATCTATTTATTCAAAATAACCTTGAATTCCAGTTTGATGAGACATTTTTTAAATAAATATCTTGTAAACAAATTTTTTGTGCATATCAAAAATTGAGATCTACATTAAATTTTTTTCTACGAAATGTCAGACCAAGAGGCTGATGATAATTTCGAAGAAGATAATGATTTTATTAATAATGATAATTCCAATTCACAAAGAACAACATTTCAAGATTTGGGTGTAAATCAATGGTTAATTGATTCTTTAAAAGCTATGTCAATAAAGTATCCAAGTGAAATACAAAAACATTGTATACCACCTATACTATCAGGTAGAAATTGTATAGGTGGAGCAAAAACAGGCTCAGGTAAAACTATAGCTTTTGCACTTCCTATTTTGCAAAAATTATCAGAAGACCCATATGGTATTTTTGCATTGATTTTAACACCCACAAGGTATTTTTTTAATGAACTTTTTTTATATTAATAAAAAACTATTTAATGATTATCATGGTCATTATCATTGTTATTGTTATTGTTATTATTATTAGGGAACTGACATTTCAAATAGCAGATCAATTTAAAGTATTAGGTAAAAGTATAAATCTTAAAAGTAGTGTAATAGTAGGTGGACTTGACATGATGAATCAAGCAATTGAATTGTCAAGAAAACCACATATAGTGATTGCCACACCAGGACGTTTAGTAGGTCATATAAATAATAGTGGTGTAAAATCAAATCTTGCTAGAATTAAATTTTTGGTAATTTTAAAAATTATATTATTATTTTTAATTTATCCAATTTTTAATTAATTGATTTGTTTGCAATTCAAAAAAATCAAGGTTCTTGATGAAGCAGATTTTTTATTAACCGATACATTTACAAAAGATCTTAAAATTATATTTGATTCAATACCTGAAACTCGTCAAACATTATTATTTACAGCAACAATGACAGAAAATATTCTAGAATTAAAAAATTCCCCAAAAAATCCTTTTATTTATCAAGTAAAATCAAGGTTAGTATATATGTATATATATGTATATATAACATATTACAATATATTAACAATAATTTTAATCTTAATCCTTAATTATCTATCAATAATCAATCAAGTATTTCAACAGTGTCAAAACTTTTACAATATTATATATTCATACCATCACATGTAAAAGAGCCTTATTTAATTTATTTATTAAGATCAAAAATTAATGATGAACTTTTATCAAATAAATCAGTAATAATATTTTGCAATCGTTGTCGAACAGCAGAAATGTTAAGAGTGATGTTGATAGAATTAGGATTAAGATGTACAAGTTTACATTCTACCATGAGTCAACAAGAAAGATTAAATAGCTTGGGAAAATTTAAAGCTGAAGTAATTAAAATATTAATATCTACAGATGTTGGTAGCCGGTAAGTTACCAATTTGTATCATCATTGTTTATTATTGGGAAATTTTTTTAAATTAATGATTTTTATTACATATATTTATTTATATATATAGTGGTCTTGATATTCCAACTGTTCAGCTTGTAATTAATTTTGATATTCCAAAAGATCCAACTGATTACATTCATAGAGTTGGCAGAACTGCAAGAGCTGGTAGAGGTGGATTGGCAATATCAATTATGACTGAACATGATATAAAATCAATTCATAATATTGAAAATAGAATAAGTAAAAAATCGACATTAATTATTTGATTGATTGATTAATATTGATTTAATTAATAATTAATTAATTTATTGAAAGATAAAAAATTAGAAGAGTGGGAAATCAATGAAAATAAAGTAATCGAAACATTAAATGAAGTATCTGCTGCTAAACGTGCTGCTAATATGGTAAAATAAATAATCATATAATATCTATTTTCCAAATAAATAAATTATACCCATATTCATTTTTATAAATATCTTTTAGCAACTTCATGACACTAAATTTGGAGAAATTAAAGAAATTCAGAAAAAGAAGAGAGAGATAGAAAATGGTAGTTATGATGATAATAAGATTAATAATAAAAAAGTAAAGAAAGTTAATAAATCTAAAGAAGTTAATAAATGAATAATATTCATCATTGAATTTATATTTTAGACAAGCATGTATATAGTTATTATAAGTATTATATAAAGATTAAAAATAATTTTACAAATAAAATATACATAATCTCTCGAGTTTATTCTCCCCTCCCTTCAATCTAACTAAAGACCCACCAACACATGTTTAGTAAAAAATTCCTCAAACAATATTAACCTCTGTTGCTACTTTTGAAGTTCCATTATCATCTTTTCGACACTCGTTAAGGTAAAGCCAAAAACTTGACAATTAATCAGCTTTAGGACGCGTCACTAAAAAAATTGTCAAAAATTAAATCAATAATATCCTAAACTAAAACAAATTTCCTTGACTCACATTTTTGATCCAAAGATTTATAAAAATAAAATATAACACATTTAAAAATCTGGTTTTATAACCAGAGTTTGGAAAACCCTGAAGATTGAAAAAAAGATATTCATTTTAAGGGATTTTGAACCTTCAAAGGAAAATATCTCAAACATTTTACGATGCAAAGTGGGTATGGTTTCTAAGCCAAAATGTCGAGTCTTCATCACATTACAATTAGATTGACGTTATCTAGAACCACAGAGCTCTTTTTTCTTTCAAGCTAGTTGTGGAAGCCTTGCAAACTTTTACGTTGTGTAACTCGGAACTTCGAATTGCAAATGTCCAGTCCCGATTAGAGAGGGTGTTATCTGGGGCTTTAAAGTCTTCTTTGTTGTAGATGATTCGCCTAACTACATTTATTCATTTCGAGATAGCTTATTTATTTTGAAAATGATTTGTGTCTTTTGGAATCAACATAATTTTCCGACAAACAAAGGCCATTTCTATGAGAGCAACTACCCTTGTGTGTTCAATAGTTATCTGGATGCCTGGATTTTGATTTTTTTACACTAGTACTAATAAGAGTTGCCTGCATTTACACAGTAGCAATTTTTCCAGGGTATTAGCAACTACAATAGTTAATTTAGCTCGTGGCATTATTTTTTAATTAAAAATATAGAAATGGCGAATTTTTTAGAACGATGATTAATATCTAAAATTGGATTGCCAATTTCCAAGTTTATGTATGAAAGTTAGTAAAAAACAGTTGAGGAATATTTCACATTCCTTTTGATTTTTTTATTTTATATATTGAATCATAATAATAAATACCGGCATGTTGATTAATCACGTGATTGGCGTGGACATAAAAATTGGCAGAATTTTTATTATTATTGCAAGTTTATCAGCACTGAAAATGAGTAATTTTATCCCGATTTACCGATTTATCTATTATCGGTCTGTAATAGATTACTTTTTTTTTCGATTAATAATAAAATATTAATATGTCAAAAACACGAACACAAAAATAGATTATTTTATTCACGTTCTTTTCCTTCTTCAACCCACATGAACAACAAATTAATTAAACATAATCACAACAAAATTACATTAAACAATAATAACACCTATACGCGTTCTTTCCTTCTTACAACATGAATAACAAGTTAACAAAAGCTAATCGCAACAAAATCACATCAACCAACAATAACAATAACAACAATAATTATTGTTATTACGATAATGATAATGATAATAATAATAATAATAGCAACAATAAAAACAATGGAAGCAAAAAAATTTTTGAACCAATTTTTATAAGCGCTAAAACCTTACATGACTTGTCAAATGTCGGTGATAACAATGTTAAAAACATTAATAATAACAATGATAGTGATAACAACAACAACAAAGCATGGTGGAAATTCTATTTATGTCACAATTTGATGATCACTGTGATAAATTTAATTTATGTTGTACGATGTAAATTCAAAATACGTGTTGTTATGGGTAACACCATCATTAAATAACTATTTTTTAAAAAAATTATGCAGTTATTATCTTTCCTTACGCACTTTCATTTAAAGATTTGGGATGCGAATCAATCTAAAGGTTACATATGAAGCAAAAAATTGTATAATTTTTAGTCAAATAAACGGAATCCAATATTAATATATAAGGTATATAGATAAAATTTATTATAAAATATATGAATGATATGATATATATAAGAACAAGCAACATACTAAGAATGTTTCCCATTCATTTACTAATTCATTCCTTCCTTTTCAATCTATTTTCTTTTGTTCCAACTTTAAGATCAAAATTACAACCTTCGTAGAGAATAAATTATTATTATTAAAGTTAGTTTATTTCACTATTTTTTTATTATTAATATACATATATATATCTTTTTTCTTAATTATAAGAAAAGCATATTAATATACACATATATCTTTTTTTTAAAATTATAAGAAAATCATATTAATATATATATATATACAATAGGATATATAATTAATGTGTATGCGTCAATTGTATCACAAAACTTCTTTTTTTAAAAAAAAAAAAAAAAATGAACAATAGTCAACAAGACAGAAAAAGAAGAAGCAAACAAGGCAGAGAAAAAGAAATCACTGGGTAAGTGTTTTAAGGGTGGTGGTGGTGGTTATCGCCCGCCACCCGTCGTCACTCTAGTTCATATGGTTGAAAATTGATCTCTTTTGTATTTACTTTTTAGTAATCTGAAGCATCATTCATCACGAGGAGGAAAAGAAATGTTCAACCTCGAAGAATTTACTATGATGGTGACGATGACAAACATAAAAATAAAAATATTCTTTTAAAATATTGGACATACATGGCTAGAAAAAAAGAAAGTCCACATCTCTTCACGTATTTATTGTTTGCTGCAAAAAGTTCATTAATTAAATTAAATAATGATTTTGAGAAAGCAAAAGCTTTTTTAGTTGAACTTTATAAGACCAAAGAAATAAGTATTTTATATTATTTAATTATACAGAGTTGTTTATCATTATCAAAAATTGGAGTAAGTCTCATCTCTTTTGTTGATTATATAGGGCACTAATAAATACAATGAAGAATCAAATGATCCTAATGTACTAGAATTTTGGGATTTAGTTAAAATCACAATAAGTAATTATTCATACATTGAGTATTCTATGTTTGTAGACAAACAATCTAAACAATTTGGGATTAAAAACAATAAACGTGGATAATTTATTGAAAAAAAATAGAGCCTTACGTAGTTTATCAAAGGTAAATTTTCATTTTGTTTATTTGTTTTATATACAGTATATTAATTAAATATTTAATAATTATTACAGCTACAATATAAGGAGGATGTTAATCTAGTAACACGAATAATTGCAGGAAATATCAAAAATACAAAGCTAATAAAAAATGATCCACTTTTGTCAGGGATTATTGATGTAATATTTTTACAGAGTAATATTGTTAGTGAATTAAAGATGGGAAATGTTTTTGATGACGTAAATCAAGGCTTATCTATTGATGATCTTCCAGATGGATTAGAGGAGTTCAACAGAGAATACATGAATAAGAATGAACGCTATAACATACCTGAAAAATATTTTGAATCAGAATTTTTTGATTTGTTTATTACATGCAGGAATTTTGTATCTCATTTCATAGGAATAAAAAAAATAAGAATGTACTCTAGAAATGAAGAAATACTAGAATCCACATGGTCTCATGATGGAATAAATCCAATCACTCGGCTAATATTTTATGATATTTATGACTTGACTTATCAATGGCAAGTCTTTAAATATTGTTATTCTCTATTTATTTTATATGATCTCTTATTGTTATTCATAAATTTTCATAGGGACAATAACATGAGTGAGGCTACAAGAGAAAGAAACGATGATACAAATGGCCCATGGAAAAAGCCTGACCTACATGGTTACATATTTGGAAAATTTTTAAATTGGGAAATATGTTATGGTGAAATCAGTAATGGTCTGAGAAAAAGAAACACAAGCTGTACTGATCATATAAAAAATGATCACAATAAATTACTAAAGTTTGCTAAAGATGGTTGGGATAAGATGATAAATTCATTCAAGAATAAACCCACTGATATTAGTAACTTTTTTAATATTGAAACAATATTGATCCATTGTCATGGTAAGCTATTTAAATTTTAAATTTTTTAATTTTATAATGCTTATAATAGATTTTTTCTACTCTTTAGGAACCATCGTTGAAATTTTCATTGTGGATAGGAAATATTATCCCTTACATAGAGCTCGTAGACTATGTTGTATATATATACCATTGGATGATAACAATGAATCATTTACAGAGACAATTATTTCACTAATCTGCATCATATATTCAGTAAATCAAAGATTGAAAAAATCACTAAATATCATAAATGAGATAGAACAAACATCATTTCAGGAATTACACAACGTTGAAAAGAATGATTTAGTTACAATTCTTACTTATGATAGTGATTGAATTACCTTTTTCATATAGTATTTGCTTAATAACAAATTAATATTATTTTTTAACATATATGTTGTTTATAATGAAATTCATAAATTTTCTTATTTTGAGGATTTTCAAAAATATATATATCTAGTAAAATTTGATTGGTTGGAATTGGGTGTGATCTTGACTTTGGATTTTTAGATGATCTATAAATAAAAACAAAAATACTATTAATCTATACTATTTTTAATTTAACAACAATTTGATTTGATTAATTCCAAGTGCATGTTCTCATATATGTACAGTAATTATGTATTTAACTCATAATCTATATAAAATAAAATAAAATAAAATTAATAAAAAAAAAAACGAAATTGATTATATACAACAAAAAAAATTTGTTTTATTTTATCTGTTAATTTCAATTTTAAATCTATGTACATATCTGTTTATCTACTACTAATTCTTTAATGTATAACAAAAAAATTAAACAGCTTCCAATTTATTTTCTAATCTATTACTAATTCTATCTATCTATACTACTAATACTGTCCACTTTAAATTTTTAAAAAACCCATATAATAACTTTTTCTTTTTATATACTTTCTGCACAAATATATATCAATACTACTGAATCTTTTATCTTCTTCTGTCACTTCTACCTTAATACCATACCACATGCCATGCATGACACATCATCTCACTGAAGAAGAACGAATAGAAGCTGATGCTGCTTGATAATGCAGAAACAGAGCAATAGAAGCAGATGAACAGCATTACCAAAGGCACTAAAAATTCCTGGGATGTGCTATTCTAATGGAAATCTGGTGTTAGCCGAACCCAACATTCCCTCTCCTGTAAAATCTCCTTTTCAGTCAGAGCAAAAAGCTCAAGATCTCTTAACTAATCAAGATCAAATGTCTTCTGATGAGCTAATGCTTGAATTAGAATTATTAGATCAGGATTTACTGGATGAAGAAATTAAAAAAGCAAGTTACTGACTTATTAACTGAATTAGAAAAAAAAAAGAAGAGAAGCAAGAAGATAAAAATAAAAATGTCTATGATTTTAATGAGAAGAACAAAAACCCTTCTCTCTCTTTGATTTGGAACAATTAGAACAGTTTTTTATTCAGCATGAGAAAATGTAACTCTTGATGGTGATAATAAACTAGTAGTTGAATATAATAATAATAATCTTGAATTACAACAGGTATTTAATTATTTAAAAAGCAATAATAAAACCTTTTTATCCCAATCAGAACTTAGTCAAATAATTGCTGAGCAAAAGAAAGAACAATTACCATCAACCAACCCAACCAATTACTTACCTTACACTTTGGGAGGAACAATAATAGTATTGATGATAGGGGTTTTTGCCTATCTGTTAGGAAAAAAGAAAAAAAAATTAAGGAATTAATTAACCTGAATTAGGTGGTAAATTATTTTTCTTCTAATTTTCTTTTCTTTCTAGATTCATCATGGTTTTGTGACAATGTTCTTTTATTAGTTATGATTTTCTTTCTTCATGGTAAATTTCATAAGTAATCCTTTCTTTTCTTAGATAAGCCTCAAGTGTTTGAGTATCATTTATTTTGAAAATATA